AATACATAATTTCTTTCTTCTATTATCTCTCTTACTAAAACCCGCGAAACTTCGAAGTTTTAAGAATTTTTATAAACTGCAATAAGATCAAGCATGGAGAACAATGTAATGGCGATGAGCCGTTACAATCACCCCGTCGCCCCGGGAGAATCCGTCCCGGATTCAAAAATCCGAATAGAGAAAGACGTTCTGCTCTATGATCTTCTTTGTTTTTTGATTTTGGTTTTTGGTCTGCTCGACATTCGAGAGTAAATGATTTGCGCTATGTTGTTTTGATACAGATTTGAGAAGCGAAAGTTAACGCGAAAAAGGACAAAGGTGGTAATTAGCATAGATTCAAAAAGGCCGTATTGATTTTTCGATCTAAGAGCACTCCTTCAGTCAGAGTCGTGGTTGATTTCCGCCATTTACTAATTTTAAGAAAGTGAAATCTCAGGTGTATCTGTCGATGACTCATGCCTAAATAGAGTAACTATTTGAATTACGTTAAAATAGCGTAACCATTCCAGTTGCAACAGAAAACCCTAATCCTGAATAGTAACAGCATAACAGAATTTTTTTTTTCAATGACAAGAACGTAGAAATTTGAAGGTTTGAGAATTTCGCGCATTTCAAAAGAGACTAGTTTTGTGAATCCATTAACAATAATTCTGACAAATGTAAATTTCTCATCATCATCATCACTCCAAAATCTCTCAAACTAATAAGTAATAAAAAATATAACAGTCAATAATTAAAGATGGACAATCGTGTACCTTCACGACCTGCAAAAGCAGAAATAACCGAAACATCAGGTGATGAACGCCGTAACATTTTCGGCAGATGGTCCATCGATGAGAAATTAGAAAGAGCTTTTATTTTGGGATCCTGGGTTGGTCAGTTGGAGAAAAGCTGCATCATGGTCATCAAATCATATCCACGTTTCGAAAATAATTGAAGACTGGCATTGCATGTCACTCAAAGGCTAGATGATAGCCTCTAGGTGGCTGAATGCAGAATACAGCTTGCCACAAGTGATACGTGGCCTACTCCAAAACCAGGCCTAATGGTGGTGGCAGCGAGCCAGGATGTTAACTGCGGATACAAACCGGGTTTTGACATGGTGTATGATTTCCACCATGGGATGCAGGCACCATCAACAACACAGCTATCGGGCAAAAGGTCTGCCAGCCCAGGAAGAGAGAGAAAAGACTCGAAGAGATCTAAAAGCGGTTATGTGCACATAGTTTTTGTACTTATATACATTAAAACCTTTTTTTTTTCTAATAAAGGCTAGTAGATAGACTGTGTTCTTCAAACGTTTGGCGAAGAAAAGTCCAGTTGAAAATCGAACACGAACGTTTAGCTGAGATATTTGTTGAATGAAAAGAAGAACGGGATTTAACAAAAGTTATAAAATATAACTTTTTTTTTTAAGTTCACGAATTATTGTAGTTCCCAACGTAAAGAGGATCGATACGTCTTCCTCTCGATGATCATAAGCTTCCGGAAAATCCAACCTCCATACTGAAGCAATAGAGTGACTACAAGTTCCGTATGGACAAGAAAATGAAAAAGATGCGGTCTAAACCTGAAAAAACTTGAAAAATATTTGTTTTCTCATTAGGAACATTGTGGCTCCACGATTGAGAATGAAGACGAGGAAAAGAAGGAATTCCTGAGACTGGTTGTTCGAGAAGAAAACATGAACTAGCTATCTTCTAAAACGAATGAGAACGCTTAACGTCATAACTATAAACAAAATGTTTAATCTTTTTAATTCTTCTTTTCCTTCTCATTATATTTTATATAATGCAAGTTACGGTAAAACCTAACTGTTGCTGGATATTTATAAGGCTATCATTCTGTAGGAAATGCACGTTCTCTGTTTCTTTTCCATCCCTTCTATTCATTTATGCCATTACAAATCGTTCTGCTAGATAGCTGATGTCGTTATGATACTGCTATAATCCAGTAGAAGACCATAACTCTCTTTTTTTTATTGGCCAAGGTGAATTGCCAATCAGCGCTAGTGCATGATAAAACTGTAGAAACAGAAGGAAATAATGAAGACTAAGTATTCTCGTGAATAAGAAGTTTTGTAAAAGAATTTTCGAACTCGTACAAAGTAAAGTAATACGTAATAAAATGAGAAGCAGAATGGTGAGACGGTGTTGCACAATGCAACTGAAACGGTTAGCGATATTGCACACTGCAATACAACACGAAGAAGTTAAATCTAGCAAAAAGAAGAGCACAGCTATAGAATATAAGTATATGTACAGTGAGAGGCTCAAATTAGTTCTCTTATGCACGACGATGAGCGGTGATACTGTTTCAGTCTTTCGACGTGAAAAGACGAAAGAACCGCACCATCCTCTAAAGAAACCAGTTCATAGTCTAGAGGACCAATCTTGCGTGAAATTCGAAAAGGACCGATCCATCTAGAAGCCAATTTAGGAAGGGCCCATTTGCCTAAGGCTGAACCTGAGGTATTAGCCATCAAAACAAGGTCACCTTCTTTAAATTGGACATCTTTACGATGTCGATCATAAAGAAACTTTTGTCCTTGTTGAGCAATTTCCAAATTTTCTCTGGCCGACTGACGTGCAGAGGCAAGAATAGCTTTAAGTCGTTCAGTGTAGGCTCGGACTTCCACAGATGATTTTAACTCATCAAGAACATCCGTTTCGGGACCGTACATGAGATCGAGTGATAGTTTCAGTTCTCGACCATACATTAAAAATGCTGGACTGTGGCCAGTGGATTCATTTATGGCCGCTCTGATGGCCAGTGCTAGTTGCGGCAACCGTATATCCCAAGATTCTTTATCATGTTCGGCAAAAATAGCCATATGGGCTTTAATGTCCGATTGACACGCTCAGATAAATTTGATTGAGGATGATAAAGAGCGGTCGTTCGATGCCGGATATCCATGATCTTTAAAGTTTCTCGAAAAACGTCGGCAACAACTTGTGCACCGTTATCGGAAACAATTCTAACGGGAATGCCATGACGGCAAATGACTTCGTCATGCAGTAGTTGAGCGATATTTCTCGATTTAACGGTGCCTAGAGGGAAAACTCGACCCATTTCGTGAAATAATCGACTACTACTAGGATGTAGGCATCCCCGCGCGGAATTTTAGGTAAAGAACCAGTTAAATCAACTCCGATAGTGTGCCAAGGGGATTGTACTACGTGAGATTGCATTAAACCTGCTTTCTTTTCGTTTGCGGCCTTAAAACGCTGGCAAAGGTCACAGGATCTTACATAATGCGCAACGTCACGCCTCATTCCGCCCCAATGAAAGCGAATTGCTAATCGATGTAGAGTTTTTCGACGGCCAAGATGACCTGAAATTGGATGGTCATGAGCCAGCTGAAGAAGTTCTGTCCGCTTAGATTTTGGAATAACTAAAAGATGCGGGCTAAGATTATTTTTCAAAGGTGAATCTTCTTCTATTTTGCGGGTCCGATATAATTTTCCGTCGATTACTCGGTGAACTTTAGCCTGTCCCTCTATTTTTCGAAGGAAAATTTCATCAGCAGGACGAATATCATCTTGAATGAAAGAAATAAGTGGACCAAGATCTTTGTCCTGTCGTTGCGCCAATTTTATGTCATCTAAAATACTGCAACTGTCCCAAAGATTAACTGCAGCCTCCTGATTTTCTTCTATATGTAGAGTCCTGGGGATTTAACCCGATCCCGAAAGCGTTTTTTCGCGTTCGGGTTCGGGACGGGTTTCAGTTCATCTGAACTATTATTTGACCACGCATCTTGTACAGAAATGTTTGCTCTTTGGGTGGTGAATTTGAATGAATTTGAAAAACGATGCCCAGTTAGCCAGTTGTCCTTTGTGTCAATCAAAATCACACGATGACCCACTCGATCAAAGCTGCGACACAATTCCAAGGCTTTTGTCATCATGCCACCCGCGACCAGAATTCGTTTTGGTTTCGCGCTGTTTTCAGCTGCCGATGTAGATATGGAAGACAACGCACGTGGTAGCAGTAAGTATAAATACGCAAGCAACGTAATCGCTAAGTTAAATGGAAACAAAAGAGTTAATAATACGAGCAAGCCTAGTGTGCGACAAACATTGTTCAATGTATCGGGCTTAGCATCACATAAAGGAGAAATTGAGAGAAGAACACAACGATAAATGTAGGGCGACTTATTGAAACAATCTATGGATCGTTGACGATTCAAATCGATCGTATCTAGCTTGTCGGTCATGTCAGAAGGATTATCTAAAGAAAATAGGCAACGATAAGAAACATTAACAACCTTAGGCTTCAAGCTACGTATTAAATATACAGGTCAATTGTCTTCTGAGCTTGATAATTCTTCAAATGAGCTAGTTCAATGACTCAGCTGCTTCTCTAGCAAATTAATGACAATTTCCTTAGGTTTGTTTTTGTTGAAGTTCGAGCGCAGTAAAAAGGCGGACACCAAAGCATGCAGTGGTATAGATTCCTACGTATCGAACATATGGATTATCGTATTACACTGTCATTGGTGATCACAGCTTGCGAGATGTTACAACTTTCAAGGTAGTATAACTAGAAATAGGCAGTCAAGAAAAGCACTTGGTTTCTGCTTAGGAAGGTCATTAAGAATTAATATAGTGAGTTACTCTTCCTGTTTTTGATAATAAAAGATTCGACGTCGATGACATCTTCTTCAGACAAAAATTAATGCATGTTTTTGAAAAATATGCAGTAAACTATTTAAATAAACCAAGTAGTAAACTGTTTATATATTTTTAATTTCTTTGATTAATAGTGGATCGGACAAGACGGTAATACTGGATGAGTGTGACTCATGAGTCTTCTTCGTTCGATCCACTATTAAATTGACTATTAATTGACATATTAATACAAAATTCATTGAAATCAACAACGATGAAAGCAACAATAAATGATAAGAAGAAGAAAAGTATAAACGATGAGATGAAGTATTCAATGTGATTACCCTATGCGCCTGATATTGAGGTACTAGAAAGAAAGTTGGAAAAATTAAAAATCAATTTATTCTTCTCGTATTCAAAAAAAATCCAATCATCATTCAATTCAGCGATCAACAGTGAATCCAAATCAGTATTGTACTAAATACCGTGCGATTGTGGTCGTGTATACAATGGTGAGACAAAAAATTGCTTTTGGAAACCGTATGAAACAATATAAAAGAACAATTAAAAAAGATGAAGAACACTCAGATTCTGAAATGGTACAACACCATCATGAAACCAAATGGCAATGTATGTTAGATCCATCAAATGCATTCATCATCGATAATGAAATCAATACAACAAAAGGAAGAATAAAAGAAAACAGAAAAGCAATCCAGAAGATGCCTTGCCCTAGTCGAGACTCCTGATTAAACTCCCGCAGGAGTCCTGGAAAAAAAGTTCTACAGGAGTCAGCAGGAGTCCTGTCACGGGACCCCAGTAGGATCCTCTGTGGAGTCAGGCAGGATTTTTAAGGGATTCATGAGGGACTCTTGAAGACTCCCACAGGAGTTCTGTGGGATTTTTAATGGATTATTGAGGACTCCAGTGAGACTTGAGAATGGACATATCCATTCTTTTGAGGCTCTCACCAGAGTTTTTATGTACTCTGAGAGGAGTACATAGTGAGGACTTCTGATCAAAGTCCCGCGGGAGTCGTTAACTTACTCTAAAATTATTGTAAAATTTCTACTGTTTTTTCATTGCAATAGTGTCTCTTATATATATATGTTCAGGCAATTTAAAACGGTGAATGACATAGTTTTGCAACTTCTTGGGACTCCCTAGATGTCCCGCTAGAGTAATTCCTCGAGGAGTCCTCGGTTTCTCCAACAGGACTCCTGAAGAAACCTTTTTTGGGACTCTTCATTAC